GGGCCAACCCCTCATGCGCCACCTCAAGGCTTTTGGGTCTTGTGGTTTTGTCCCCTTAGGATTTAAACCCAAACCATGTCTCAATAGTTAGAATTGTGAAGTTACCTCTATATAGACCCTAGCTTTCCCTCCCATTTTAATGAGAGATTTTCCTAGGGAAAACTTCACAGCAAACCCCCTTTCAAGTTCAACCACCAGCAGTCCATGAGTTGTTACACAATGTTCCAGGAAATAACTAAGAAATAGAATGTAAGCCTGTAACAGTAACTAGTAATTGATGACAGCAAGCAGTTTCTCAAGAACTCATACCTACAATTTGTAGTTGATATTAAGTATTATTAACTAGCTAAGATTATGCATTCTGAACTTGCTTCTTTCATTCGTTTCAAATCCCGTCACGTTAACGAAAGTCTCAAGGTTGTACAAGTTATAATAGCTGTGTATTAAACTAAAAAACATCTTTTATACAGAAGACATCTGAAGTACAAACAATCTAATTAACCAAAAAGGCACCTACGGAGTGTCACCCTTACAAAGTAACAGGGTCAAGAAGAGTACACCACTACCAAAAATCAGGTTTTGCAAAAAAAGATGATTGAGAAATCAGAAGGTTTCTGTTCCTCATGATATTACTCATAGCATCACAAACAGACCTCAAAAGAGCCTTTAGATTTACAAAATGCAATTCTTCCCCCAAAGAAAGAATTGAAGGATGTCTTCAAGATTCTCCACATTAACGAGGGACCTAAAAAGCTGTTCAGTGGAGTAAGCTTTAAGGTTTGACAGCTCTAAATAGTTCAGGATATCCAAATCACAGAAGGTGAATGTCTATAAAGCATAAGCCTCAGAAATATCTCAGTGTTATGCAACGTTATATGTTTCCCCACCTAAGTGGAAGCACATGGCTATGATCTAATATGAGAAGAGTGACGACAGTAACATTCCTTCACCTGCATAAGGTAGGATAGGCCAACTCTTTTTTTCTCTTCTTTTTGTTGAATCGATTTAGACAGAACAGCCTTGGAGCCGTAATCCAAGCAAGAAAAGGTCACTTTCAAACTTTTAGAAGCACAAAAGGTGTAGAAACTCACATGTTGATTTTCATTTTGCAAATCATATTTATTCCCTGGGATAGTCTAAAAAATATGCTAGCAAGAATACAATATAAACTAAAAGATGGTGGCTACAAGGAATTAGAAAAAGGAAGACTGTACCGCTTCAAAGACAAATGAAGATTAAAAACAAGTTGGAAAACGATTGGACGCGTTGTATTACAGAGTAAGCAGCTTTGCGTAAGTAAAAATAAGTGTGTCATGGACACATTTATGCCATGAAAAAATAAAGCAATGACAGAAAAATACTACTTCCAAATAAGAACCAGGGTACAGTAATTGGATGAGCAATTTGCATAAGTAATTGAGGCATAGAATAGATTTTAATCAGAATAGTAAGTAAATACCTGTCACTTGTCCTAAATATTGCTCCAGCATTCTCCAACAATATCTTGAGCAGCTCCAGCGCCACAATCTTGCCCCTCATTAACTGTGGATCTGCTGCTGCCTCCTTGGGTGGTGTCTTCATTGAGAGCTTACATAAGGCTCTAAACACCAAGAATGCATCCCTTCTCAATTTATTCCCAATTTGAACCTCCAAATCATCATCCCTTTCTCCCTCCCCGTCCACCAGCTCCCCTTTTCGCCCTTCCAAAGCTGTTTTATACATGCTAATCTCCCAATATTTAGCGTCCAACATATCTTTATCCGTGGAATCCAACAAATCAGCAGGATTCGTGGACTCCACAGTTGACGTCGTTGTCTCAAATGCCCCATCATGAGCACCAGTAGTTGTAGCCCCCACCCTTGGAGTCCCCGCATTGAAAACCCCATCAATGTCCTGAAACACTTTGGTTATAAACCCCTGAACAAACAATGTCATTGATCCATCAGCATCAGCTTTTTCAGCTGGTTCCATTAACTCCGCCACAACAATAGGCTGCAATGGCACGGTAGATGAATCAGCCTCCATTCTCCGGAAGACAATCACCAACATTTGAACCAATGAAGCCTTAGCAGTAGTCTGATTCACCACATTCTTACTCTCCAAATAAATATCATAACAAGTCCTGACAACCTGCAACAAAGAATCCCCATGGATTCGAATTGAAACAGATGTGACAGCAGACAAAATAGTCTTAATTACAAGCAATTCCACCGCATCATCTCCCAAATCATGACATTTACAAACAGACTCGATCAATTTCGATAGAAACTTCGCATCTGGGCCTCCAGTCGGGTCCGCTTCCCCACGAAGGTAACCATGAGCAATGAGCTTTTGCACAGCATCAAGTGCAGCTTCAGCAATCTTAAGATGACCTGAACCAGCAGCGTTTATAAAAGGGCTAAGAATAAGCTCCGAATCATTGAAAGAGAGATCTAGAAGAACTCCGGGATGTGCTGCCAAATCCGGATCGGGTTCGGCAGACGGAGAAGTGGGTGGGGTTGAAGATGGATTCGTGAGGAAATCGATAACCGATTTGCATTCATGGGATAGCTTTGAATGTTTACGCCATGATCCATTCTTGATAATTTTCTCAAGGGCTGGGATTAGCACTTGCTTTAGCCGGGAATCAGCTTCCGAAGAAGCCATTCCCGAGTTGGTTTAGACTGGATCTGGATTGGCAATGGCACGGCGGCTGACGAAGGTGGTTGCAGACGGCGTCAGTAATGGGTTTGCAGCGGCGATATGAGTGGCCAGAATGTGGATCGGCGCAGGAAAATTGAGTGATGAAGTGATAGAAAGTGAGGAGAATCCAGATCGCGATTGGTATTGCTTATAGTAATATTATCAAACAGGTTGTGTGCAGCCCAATGATTTGACAATGGAGAAAATGAACATGCTGGTTGCTTCGTACTTCAATTTTAGGATATTGGACTGAAAAAAGAAGAAAAAAAAAACATATTAATACCCTATAGGAATGTCAAATAAAATTTCCCTTACAAATCTTAGGGGATATTTTGATGTTTTTTTTTCAAAGAAAAAAAGTTTGATGTTTACCTGACATATTAAAGATATATACATTTTTTTTTAAATACTTTGGATATGTTTATTAAAGAAAACAATAATAAGTTAATTCAAATATTATTATGTCAGTTCTCTCTTTGTTTTAAAAAAAATACCTAGTTTAACTTGAAACAAAATTTAAGAAAAGAAATAAGATTTTTTAATTTTGTAGTTCTAAATTAAAGTTATGTCAAATGTACCAAAATGTCATTTAATATTATAGTCTTAAACATGATGCGTGAAAAGTTAAAGTTAACGTGTTGTCAAAAAAGGAAAATAGTCGTTCTTTTTTAAACAAATTAAAAAAAATAGAAACATTCTTTTTAAAATGCGAAGAGTATATAATAATGCTCGATGATGATTCAAGATTGCATTGGCGATCGTATCTAAGGGTTAAGGGTGGTCTTACACGATAGTTGTGGCAAATTATGATGATGATAATTATGATAATGGAGCTAATTGTGGTGGTTATTATTTATAATGTTGATGTTTGATGATTGGGGATGATGATTGATAATTAAGATAATAATGGTTGTAATTGTGAGTGTCCTAAGGTTGATAGTAATAACACATGGTAACAGTAGTGATTGATTGTTATTGTTAATTGATGACGATTGACGATAGTAATTGTGGTGATTGTAATTGTTTGGGTGTCAATAAAGGTAGATAATGTTTTTTATCGGTGAAAATTAATAATAATGACAATCGCAACCGTAAATGTGGTTAATATTGTAAAGAATAGAGATTAGCATTGATAGCAATGAAATCATGAATTGAAAGTAGTTTGTAATGATCGTTGATCGGTAGTTGTGGTTATATCAATTGGCGATAATATTTGTAGGAAGATGATGATTGTGATTGTGAATCTAAAGATTATAAATAATAATTTATCAAAAGAAAAAAATATTTAACTAAACAACATTTTAAGGAAATTTTACATAAATAATATTTTTTTTGATTAATTTCGCCTTTTAAGTGTTACTTTGTTTTTATTATCATATATGACATAATTTTAACTTTAATAACTATTTGATAAAATTTGTATTGAAATTATAAAGTAGGTGAAATTTTGAAAAAATTATAGTATTAAGTTTGTATCAAAATGTATTAAATATAAACAATCAATGATTTGATAGTGGCGATTACGAGAAAGAAGGGATGAAACTCTTAAAAAATTATATTAAAATTAGATTTAAAAAAATAATAATTATAACACAATTTGAATTAGATACTATAAAAATACTATAATTTTGATAGTTATTATTCCTGTACAATCATAATAAATTGATATCAATGTAAACTAATTTAAATAGTAACAAAAATGTTTGAAAGTCACAATATAATACTTAGAAAAAGGGGTTGAAAAATGTTTTAACTTTGGCTGAAATTATTCTTATGGTTTCAAATTTTATGAAGGACTTTTTACCCTTAAACAATTTAACGGTGTATTTTAAAGATATATATATGTCTATGTGAACATATTATTATTTATAATTACGAAATATTTTTCCCTGATACTTATACTAATATATTTGTACTAGAAATGTTTTCGTTTATATATCGAGTGATGTTCTGAAAAATTGTACTCCATCTGTCTCTTTTTATATGACAGTTTCATTTTTCGAGAGTCAACACAATTTAACTTTGATCGGATATTTACGTATAGAATTTTCAAATTTTTTGAGATAAAATTTATATATTTGTAAACTATGCAAAGAGTATTATAAGTTACAATAATTGATAATTTAAAATGTTAAAAGAATCTATGAAAAATATACGATAAAAAATATACTTACTTAAATTTTAAAATGTGAAAAATATCACCTAAAATAAAACTGAGGGAGTATTAAATTAAAAAAAACAACTATGATCTGATAATAATTATTACGAAAAAGAGAGAAGTGAAGTTTCGAAATATTTTATACCTTCTAAAATAAAATGAAACTAAAAATTCAGCAGTTATGCTATCCACTTAGCCCTTCCGATTTTATTTTCCAGGCAACGCTACCGCTCATTCTTTGTTGGCTACGATAATGACGGATTACGATTCCTAAATAACAAGTAAATTTTAGCGTATCGATGGATGACTGTGTCATCTACTTCCCCGCGATAGTTGTGACAATTTGATAGAATTGTTATTTCTAAAAATTTCTACTTACTTTCTGCTTGCGTATTACTTGGATTAGCCAAGCCCCACAAAAATCTGTGAAAAAACCCACTATTGTTGCATTATTCTTGAATTAATATCTGACTTTTGACATGGGTTTTGTGGCATCTGGTGTCTTGTGTTGTTCCACTCAAACATCTATACGAAGCAATACTATTGGAAGAATCAATCAGTATCCTTCAAAGGGTGTTTTTTTCTTGCAAAAAGTTACCAGTTTTGAGAATCGTGAATTGGGGTTTAAGCCTTTACTAGCAGTGAGTAATGTAGCAGTTAATCAGAAGAGTAGTGCTGAAAACCAAGTTAATGATAAACCTAGGTATAGGTGGGTTAAGATAGGCTCTGATGTTACTGAGGAACAGCAAAGGGCTATATTGAAGCTTCCACCAAAGATGATAAATAGATGTAAGGCATTAATGCAACAGATTATTTGCTATTCACCTGAAAAGGGTAGTGTGTCACTCTTGTTAGAGGCCTGGGTGAAGAGTATGAAGCCTGACAGAGCTGATTGGCTTGCGGTACTCAAGGAATTGGACAGGTTGAATCATCCCATGTATTTGGAGGTAATGTCACTTTCGTCCTCTACCACATAGTTCTTGACTTCATTAAAGTCTTGCTTGCTGCTGGCTTTTGTTTCACATTCTTTATGAGTTTTGATGCACAAAATTTGCTGGATTAGTGTTCTCTTGTCTCAATCGTCTATCTACCATGGAAAATTGTTAATTACAACCATTACTTTGACCACTTCCTAACTTGAATTGTGCAGAATGTCACATTGCCTTCATTAAATTTGATGGATGCGAACAGAAAAGGTTTAAAAATTTTCTACTTGCTATTTTCCTCCATCTTCACCTTTTTAACGCTCACCTGAAGGCACATCACTCAAGGGTAGTCATTTCGAGCAAACGGTGAAACCAGAAATTTTGTTGATGGGGCTTAAGGTTTAATATATGTATAAGCAGTTTTTGACATGTATATACAATATAATTTTTCGATGAAGAGTGTTTAACTGGCCACCCTTCACTCTATGTGTTTACGCCACTGTTTGGAACCATCTCCATAATGTTGTGCTCACTTCTCAAAAATTGTTGATATGTCTCCTGTTACTAACTTGACGGTGTTCTCTTTTCAACAACCTTCATAGGTGGTTCCGAATCTAGTCTGCCAAATCATATGCATCTTTCCTTTTGTTCCTTGTCTTCTGTACCTTATCTAAATACTAACTTGCTTGTTCTTTTGGTAGCCCATTAAATATCCTTTTCTTTGGGTTCAAGTCTATTCCCACGTTTTCTCTGTCCTTTCCCCTCCTTTTGGAGTCTAGTTGGAGTCTCACTATGGCAGCACATTAGGTTTGACGTAATGCCTTGAAGTAGTAGTGACATCACTTTATGATGGATAAACCTTTGTCCTACATGAATTTGACACCATTTCTTGTCGAACAATGTGTATGTCCTCTTGTTAAGCCTTCTGATTTGTGGATATTCTCCTTGAGATAGCTGGTAGCATATCATTAGTTTAATGTTAACTAGTGAGGACGCTGGATTAAAATGGATGAATTTGTTTTCTTTGACAATCATCGTCCATTAGGTAGTAGATTAGTCATTAGAGATTTTATTTATTTACTTAACTTCTGGATTATTAAGTGTAGATTTGAGATCAGTCCAATGTGAATGTTGGGACCTTTCCTCTTCTGCCCATGGTTCCATTATTCAGATAACTGTTGTCTCTTTTTGTTCATCTCCTAATTAAACCGGAGTAGCTGCCAGAAGATAGTATGGATAAATAGGAAACATGTTGAACCCATCTAAGATCTAGTTAGAGCAATGGAATTCTGAGTCTAATAGCCTATGACATGAGAATGCTTGGAACCTTTCCTCTTCTGCTCATGGTTCCTTTATACAAATTACTGTTGGCCCTTTTTGTTCATCTTCTAATTAATGCTGAGTGCGGACTGTGCTTTTATACAAGCGGCTGGACATTATCTACCAGAAGGTTTATTGCCGTTGAGGACTATTTTATTAAGTTGTGAAATAAGCTTTACTCGAATCCTTTTCTTTATTCCTAAAAGAATTAGGTACTTGACAATACCTATCAACAATTTCCATAATCCTTACAACTGGATAATAGTGCCGTTCTTGGCACATAAGGTCCTCTAGAATTGTGATGGTGAAAAAGTAGGATAACTCAGGCACGTTTGTGGAACTTATAATTGGATGAAAAAGGCATCACTACTTTCTAAGTTAGTAAATTTTCTTGAAATGATAAAGGTGAGGGTATATTGAGTCAACTCCAGTGTCATCTTTTAATCACTTGTAGCAAACTTAAGACAAATGACTATTATAGAGATGACACTTATGTTAGGATGAGCACACTGTAACATTCTTTACTTGTTAATTCAGAAATCCGTCTAGGATCAATCCTTAGGACCAACCTCAGCCTTCAAAGTCGTGTATAATGGGTCCCCCGCTCTGCCCTTCTTCACTCTATACCAGGCTTAGTTCACATGGCACAGGAAAGCTTGTGACCCAAGTCACAAGTCCCTCAACCTTTGCCACTTGAACTAAGCCCTGGAGGCCACTCTGTAACATTCTTGCTACCACTACTGCACTTCTAAGATAAAAATAAGTTAAGTGCAACTGCAACATCATTGTAGTGAACATCCAAACAGCTACCAGCAAAGAAGTCGTAAACAAGAAGTCCCTGTTGCTTAAAGTCTCGTATCCTTTATAGAGTGGGGAAGGAATGTAGAAGTGAAAATATGGATAGGCTCAAGCAATCATTCCAGTTATAGGGTTGATCTTGAAAGGTGTTATGTACAGTGAAATGTTCAGAAATTTTGGGTGAAGGATGATCTCTAGAGGACTGGCAATGACTTGATTGTCAGTCTTGTTTGCAAGTTTTCTGAACTATTCAACCTTAACCTGCACATAATTTTTCTAATGGAGTCTATATATTCTCTGTGTTTTGCCTTGAGAAGAATAATAATGGGATCAGTGTCATCTTGTAAGATTCAGCCCGAGAAAGCAATTCAGTTGAATCACTTTCTCATCTCCTTCTCAGTGCAGATGGCTTTAGTGATTGGAGTCTGTGTAATCCCCTCACGTTCTGTTAGAGGAAGTGATCTACAGGAGAATATCTTTACTACTAGGTAGAGTGAATTCTGAAATCTGAGTGGACTTCTAAAGGCGTAATTTAAAGTCCCTCTAGTTTACAAGTTAACCGAAAAGCTGAATGTTGCTGGTTGTGTTTGCTGTCTGGCGTGCATAGTTCCTGTTTATCTATTAATCGTAAAAACTTCACGACAGCGAATCATAAACAGCATCATTAATTTTAATCTGGGGAGATGTTGGAGGGGGTGACACACCAACAATTTAACTACTAGCTTATTCAGATAAGAATTATGAATGCATCAAGCCAGATGCTTGCGATGCTAATATTTGGATCCTTTTCAATCAGGAAAGTAGAAGCATTAGAATACCATGAAAATCTTCTAGTTCATTAATGGTCTGTAAATATAGATTTTTTTTGCAAAACTTTTTTTTAGATGGTATATGTTAATTTGAACCTTGCTATGTGCCTCTGAGATTGCTAGAGCTGGTTATTATGTCTTCCCTCTCAGGAGAGTCATTTGAACTTTGAAGCCAGTGTTTGACTATACCTAGAAAGTTCATCGGTACAAAAAGCTCAATCGGCTTTGTTCTTTTAAAGGTGGTAACAATTCTGATCTTTCAAATCCATCATGTGATAATAATTAAATCCGTGGATTGTTCTCTAGTAGTTCTAGTTTATTCTTAAAGAGCATTTGATTCTTCTTATCATTGTGTTATCCATCTCCTTTTCATTATTAAACCCTTCAAGTGAATTTAATTGTGGCCACTTTAGCCCCAATATTGTTGGGATCCAGGCAAAATCATTTGTTGAGTCACAATTTGATTAAGAACAATTGAAGACACATCCTTCTCTGATCCTAGTTCACTTAGAAAGCTAGGAATCAGGAACAGGGCTACAATTATTCTGAATTTTCTTGATATCCGTAAACTATGTGCTTACTAGTCTTTCCACTAAACTTTCAACAATTTTTTGAATGTAGACAAGGAAATCAGCCAATTTATCTATTCCTTGGTGCACTTTCTATATCTCAGGTAGCTGAATTGTCCCTCTTAGCAGAATCATTTGAAGCCAATATTCGTGATTACACCAAGATAATTCATGGCTATGCAAAGCAGAATCGGCTGAAAGAAGCTGAAAGTGTGTTCTTATCCATGAAGAGCAGAGGCTTCACATGTGATCAGGTGACACTGACAGCTTTAGTTCACATGTATAGCAAGGCCAGTAACCTTAAGCTGGCTGAAGATACTTTTGAAGAGATGAGGTTGCTTGGTGTACCATTGGATAAGAGGTCCTTTGGGTCAATAATCATGGCCTATGTTAGAGCTGGAAAGCTTGGTCAAGGAGAGGCTTTACTTAAGGAAATGGAAGAACAAGAGACCTATGCTGGACCAGAAGTTTATAAAGCACTTCTGAGAGCCTATTCGATGAGTGGTGATAGCAAAGGAGCTCAAAGGGTTTTTGACACAATTCAGTTAGCAGGAGTAATCCCTGATGCGACAATTTGTGGTCTGCTTATGAATGCCTATATTATGGCTGGTCAATTGAGTGAAACTTGTATTGCATTTGAAAATATGAGAAGAGTTGGCATAAAGCCAAATGACAAGTGTATTACGTTGCTACTGACAGCTTATGAAACAGAAAATAAACTGAGCAAGGCACTTGATGTTTTGATGGATTTAGAGAGGGATGGTATTGTGCTTGGCAGAGAAGCTTCTGAATTATTGGCTCGTTGGTTCAAGAGACTTGGGGTAGTTGGAGAAGTGGAGCTTGTTCTGAGAGATTACGCATCAAACTGCACATTACTAAACTGATGTTTTTTGCTTTAGCCAGGAGTTTCCTATCAGTGGGTATGTAAACATTTTACACTAAAGAAACTGGTTTGCTAAAACCCGTCTTCAGTAACTGCAGCTTATTCCCATGTCACAGTAAGAGAAAAAGGGGGTTGAAAAACAAATGAAACTGGAAACAAGAGCTTCCCTTTTCTCAATCTGACTTGGTGAATATAGTCGTAAATATGTGTGTGTGCATATATTCAAGCACAAGATAGTTTCATGCACCAACACATATGTCAAACTTTTTGAGCCTAGTGGTTTAGTTAGAAGTTTTGGTTTAGGTTTAGGTTCAAGCATCTTCATCCAGCTTGCTGTACGTCGATACAACATACTGCCCAAAAAAGTATAACAACTCACTGCTGCTAACAAGCAGAGGTATGTTTTTTCATATTTTTGGTGAGAGGTTGAGGGCTTAACAGAATTAAGAGGAGAGCTCTTTATGTCCTTGGGGATGTACTCAGATGTGAAACTATTTTCTGTAGTATTTTAATTACTTCGGTTCATTATAAGTTGTAACTCTTTATTTTTTTGTTGTTGAACCTTAAAAACGAAAAAAACATGGTTAGTGAGGTTTATATATAGTTGAACCCAACTTATTTGTGACTTGGGTGTAATCTTAGCAATAGAGAGAAAATCCAAGATAGGTGTAGCTTTTTTGAGAACTAATCATAATTTTATCTGAATAACTGATATATTATGGTTTGAGCTTGGGACTTCCATGTTGGAGGTTTGAAATTCGAAACCCCTTGCCAGTAAGGGGTTTGCCTTATGGGTCGAGCTTGTCGCACCAAGCTTGCCTAGTGCGAGTTACCTCTCCTATGTGATTTACAACTCTATTGTATAGGAGCTGGGTTTTACCCTAGGGTAGCGGCTGCGAGTTTCCCTCGTAAAAAAAATCAATCAAGAAAACCAGATTGTTGTTTAAATTGATGGATACAATTGGTAGCTCTCATTACTCAAATGAGCTAATTTCAATAAACAATCCCATTAATTCGAAGGTGTACCAAAACCAAGATTAGGGAGAACAAAATTATCTCAACAAATGCAAACCACAATCTTAGGCTGTGTTACGTCCAATTTTCTAACGTTAAAAATGAGGACAACGATGTCCCTTGTGAAAGTGGGAAAAACAAGTTCTGAAGTGATATTTTACATTGTTTGTATCTTCCAACCCTCAAAATATTACCACCACTCCCACCTCCCATTTAGATTATATTTTAATATAAGGATAATACTTTTTACTTGCATACCTAACATACACACACACACAAAAAAAAAAAGAAGAGAAATTCACTTATTTTTATACAAAACATTTTCCTTCCTACCAAACACACCCTTAGATTGCAACACGTTATAATCAACCATTATTCTGGATGATAAAAAATTACTTAAAAAAGGAATAAAAATTGCGTTAGTAAAGAAATCGTAATGGTAGGCCAACACTCTTTGATTGATTTTCTTTGTTTTCACCTGGTTTTTGAAATCTGCACTAGAGGCCCGACTAAATTCAGAGACCTCTTTTGAGTGATTGCTTGTACTTGAAACAATAACATAAAAACTAAAAAAGGGGTTGAAGAGTGTATATGTATTATGTGGTGTATCTTAAAATACCGAACCTGGCAACAAAAAGCCATCCTTGCACTTTCTGCTTTGGCAAGGGCAATGAAGGAAATGAACAACGTAAGATGTGTATGGAGGCAAGGACAGGTTAATGTTGTTGTTGGGTTCCTTACACCAAATGTCTCTGTAAGTATGGTTTAAATTTTCACCTCTTAAGTACTCTGTTTTCTATTTTTAGTGGATATTCCACTCTTAGATTGTTGACATTCTTATTGACCACTGCTTGCAGCCTGATTCATTTTTACTTCAATATTCTTCCCTTTGCTGGGAATGTTCGGGAGTTTCAGTTTCCTTCTTTCAGCAATCTGCCTTCATCAATGCAGCCAAATGAGAAGCAACAGATAAATTGGTTCAGATTTTACCTGGAAAACAGGAAGTTTTACCACCTGACTTTACACCTAATCCTGTTCTAGAGGTATGGCGTCATGCAGAATATTGTTGAAATATTAAGTGTGAAACTACTACATTTACCTTTTCACTTAGATCACTCATTAGGAACATAATTAAACTAATTTAGTAAAGAGCTGTCTGAATTTAGGATATTTTATTGCCAGTTGGTCATGGTAATCGTAGCAAAATGATGCATTAACATTTCAAACTTTCTTTCTGTCACCAAATTTGGTTAAAAGTAAGTTGTTACATTGTTGGTGAGTTATAATTGTTGTTATGTTGGTATTGACAGCCTTTTCACTGCTTAGGTGGATAACTTGATTTGATTAATCATTTCATATTAAATATATGTTGATAATTGGACCTAGGTGGTACTTCAGCTTAATAATGTGTGTAACAGGAACCTTTGGAGATTCAGGTTTTTAGATTATAAACAGTGCTGCTTATCTATGAACTCTCTGAGTCCTAATATGAAATAAAAAAAATCATAACGCAAGAATCCTAATTTTGCTCCATCATTGCCTTTTGCACTATCAGTTTCTAACAACTAGTATTGTACAACTATCCAGCGTTACTGCCGTTATCTTAACCTGAAGTCTAGGTACCCAGATGCTGCTGTTCCTCCACTTGATGAGACCCTCAGAAAGATAACATAACCTGATGTTGAACTTCTTTCATCATAGAGGAACTCCGTAGGTCTTTTGAACTAAAAGATAATCCAAAGGTAACTTTCAATATTCATCCCTTTATTCAAATTGGACTTTCTAGAATGGACCGACTATGGTGGCTTATGCGTTACCAATTATTATATAACTAATGCAGCTGAAAAAATCAGCAAGAAGAATAAAAGAGAGGCCTTCAGGACCAGATGGGGAAAGAGAAGAGTTCGACAAAGATGCTGATGTCAAAGCTATAGACTGAATGGAATACTCAGCCAAAACAGAAGTTGAGGAAGTTGGAGACGTTAATCCTATCAAAGACTTTGAGGAGATGCTGTCTCGAAGAGATAATCCAAAATGGATTAGTAACAGGGTATGAAAATTAGGATCTTTCTTCTCGTGGAGAATTATTGTGAAGGAGATACATTTCATAAAGCATTGCAATGTTTGGTGGCTCTACGCAAAGGTTGCATCCTTGAGCAGGTATGTTTTCTGTGTTCTCTCTCTATGTCCTATAGTTAAATATCAAATATCTGTGGCACACGCCCAAACAAACTAACATAGCAACATCAATTTTACCTGAGTAGGAACCAAAACAGTTCAATTATTTCCTGTGCCACCTGTCTAGATTTTGCCAAGAAAAAGACCTGAGAAGTTTCTCTCTGTATCTCACATCTCATGAAATCACTTTGATAACCAAGGCAGAAGCTCCCGACAGGTCTGATCATATTTCTAATTGTCTTAATATATTAAACTGCTTCAGATTGCTCTGTCCTTACTTCTTCCTTGATGCTGATTTCTTTATTTGGTAACTTTGTATTTATCAGTGAAATTCCAGAACACGAGGCTAGAAGCTTTATGGTCAAGCCTGAACTTGAGTCGCAAAATATGAAATCAGAGGATGATATTATGAGTACATACCCCTGGGTGGGAAGTAGAAAAGGAAACCTAGAGATGCATATTGTGTGATGTACAGGCAATCAGCATTTTCAGCTAGACTAACAGTGTAAACTTAAATAGATCTTATCTTTGAGGTTTCCGTTGAAGATTGAATCTTAGACCTAAATCAGCTTCATTTTGTTTACTTGTTTGTTTGGTTAAATCTTAAATAGGCCTTTCTTTTATTTGCCTATTTTTGTCACGTCTAAACCTATTCTCTTAACTTATGCAGTAAAGTGTTTGTTCCCGAGTACTATTTTTTCACTTGTTATGTTCGCTCCTAAACAACTGGCAATGAGCATATTTGCAGCAATTGAAGCTTATTTTCCTCTCAACTGGCAGAAAGGTGAATGGAGCGTTATTTTTCTGATTGTGTGAAACACAAATAACAAAAAGGAACAATGCAATATTGGCTCGTTGGTTCAAGAGACTTGGGGTAGTTGGAGAAGTAGAGTTTGTTCTGAGAGATTGCACATCAAAGTGCGGATTACTAAACTGATGTGTTTTGCTTTGGCCAGGAGTTTCTCTCTGTTGTATCTATTTGAGAGACACAGTCTTGGTTTCCAATCTGCAGGTATGTAAAACTTTTTTCACGAAAGGAACTGGTTTGCTAAAACCCGTCTTCAGTAACTTGCTGCTTATTCCCACGTCGCAATAAGAGAAAAGGGGGGTTGAAAAACAAAGAAAACTGGAAACAAGAGCTTCCCTCTTTTCAATCTGACTATATTCAAGCACAACAGAGTCTCATGAGCTTACTGGTTTAGTTAAAAGTTTTGGTTTTGGTTCTGGTTCACGCATCTTCATCCAGCTTGCTGTACGTCGATACAACATACTGCCCAGGAAAGTATAACAACTCATTGCTGCTTGTATCAACAAAACAAGCAGATGTATGTTTTTTCATATTTCTGGTAAGAGGTTGAGGGTTTAACAAAACTAAGAGGAGAGCTTTTATGTTCTTGGGGATGTACTCAAATGTGAAAACATTTCCTGTAGTATTTCAATTACTTCGGTTCATTATAAGTTGCAACTTTTTACTTTTTGTTGTTGAACCTCAAAAATGAAAAAAATGGTTAGTGAGGATTCATATTGTTCAATCCAACTTATTTGAGGCTGAGGCGTAGTTCTAGCGATAGTGTGAAAATCCAAGTGTTTGAACCTCACTTTGTTAAGATATAGGTGTTAGCCTTTTTGAGAAATAATCATGCTTTTATCTCAATAATCAATATAAATCAATCAGAAAACCAAATTGTTGTTTAAGTCAGATGGAAACAATTGGTAGCTCTCATTACTCAAATAAGCTAATTTCGAATAAACAATACCATTAGAAGGTGTAAAAAAAAACAAGATAAAGGGAGAATAAAATTATCTCGACACATCCAAATCACAATCTTAGGCTATGTTACCTCCAATTTTTTCATGTTCGGTTGAGAGAGAAAATAAGTTTCTTAAAAATGAAGAAAACAACGTTTCTTGTGGAGGTGGGCAAAATAAGCTCTACAAGTGATATTTTACATTGATTGTATCTTCCCAATCCTCGAAATTTCTACCACCACTCCCACCTCTTATTTAGAGTATATTCAGGATAATACTTTTACTTTACGTACTGAACACAAAAAAAAAATTTACTTATTTTTTTACAAAAACATTTTCCTTCCCACCGAACATACCCTTAGATTGCAACAAATTATAATCAATTATTATTCTGGATAATAAAAATTACTTTAATAAAAGCAAGAAAAATTGCGTTAGTAAAGAAATCGTAATCCTAGGCCAACACTCTTTGATTGATTTTCTTGGTTTCCACCCGGTATTCAGAGTCTGCATTGAAGTTCCGATTAACTTCAGAAATCAATGCTTCAAGGGTAAAGTAGTTCAACCACAACACCACAATCATATTGATACTGTTTGAGTGATTGCTTGTACTTGAAACATGAATAATATGAAAGCTAAAAAAGGGGTTGAAGAGTGTATATGTGGTGTATCCTTTTTGAGACGTAAAAGATTCAAACTACTCCTTAATCTGTAACCTAAGAATGATTTATTTCGTTTATGATTACCCAAAACTGGAAAAAAAATCTATTTCTCAATCTTAAATGTCTTTTCTTATTGTTTTGTTTTGTGTGTGGTTTACTTCAATAGTAATTTGGTTCATTTATATTCACTCTGAGTCGATATATAAATACAACTTTGTCTAAATTAACTGAATATTTTTTAGAGAAATCTAACAAGGAAACAAAATAAAGTAAATCAAAAAATCTTATATGAGTGTACGTAAAGCAATTCAATTAAACACCAATACATAGCTCTCGCTAACAAAACTCGTTACTTATAAATGACTTCTTCGACTTAAAAACAGACAAATCAATTCATTGCATAAAATTCATAGTTATAAAAATGTGTATAAATTAAAATATCAACAAACCCAATTAGACAAGAAATAAAGATTCAACATCCAATCCAAAAAAAAAGAAGACCTTTGGAGGATATTTGAAGTCCCCTTCTATATTAAAACGGAACTTAAAGTCAAGAACGAGAATGAAAAATATTGTCATATAACTCCGGATCAAAAAAGTAAAACATAACTAAAAAAAATTCTATCCTCGCCCTAGATAGAAAATCGAAATTTTAGTCCATAGTCATTTAGTCCATAGTCAATGATTAAATTGAGAAATAAATTTGAAATTTTTCAAAGATAATATACATTGAAGCAAGAATGTAATCAAAATTAGATACCACCACACACAAGGGAGCAATTAAAAGTAATTAAGCATTATAGATCTATAACTAATATTGAATGTAATTAGTATTAATCCAAAAAAAAAAAGTAGTACAACAAACAAAAAAGAAGAAGGATCAAGAAAATTACAAATAGGGTAAAATTAAAGATTTTTCATGACTTTGCCTAGTTTTTTTTTTTTGATCAATTAAAATTGATAACCCTCATTTTTCTTAATTTTTTTTTTAAACATCTCATGAGTACCACTAATATTTAACATATTATAAGTCAGTACTTTTGGATCTCACTTGGTCTGTGGTGGCAAAGCTGATGATTCTGTGCATGGCACTGTTGCTGATCCATGTCTATGCAGAAGTTCACGTGCCAATTCTTGAAGATCGCCGCCCCCGCCTCCGGTGGATGGTGACATGTCCATCGGAGCTCTAGCGCCACCAAAGTGGCGCGGGTCCAGAGGCAGAGGGGGCGGCGGTCGTGGCTGCTGCTGCATTGCCCATGAGGGTTGAATAACCATTGGGTCAAAAAGTGATGATAAGTCATAGGCAGCTGGCAATGAAGGTCCTGCTGTTGGCAAGTCTGCTATGGTGAGTGATGGCTGGTGGAGCATTGTTTGAGGTTGTTGTGGCGGTGGCGGTGGCGGTGGCGGCAGTGGCGGCGGTGTTGGAAGCTCCAGGGTTGTTAGGTGGGCTTGTAAGTATGAGAGTTCTGCTTGTAAATTTGCTACCTGAGTCACACAAATATGGTATCATGTAATGGAATTTTATGATGGTCTAAATTAATATTCTCCCTCCCTTCTAACACCAAGTTTAAGAAATACGAGAAGACTTTGTAATGTTCGTAAAAAAATATACCTTTTTGTCCAGTAAAAAAATGTCTCATTCCTTTTGAAACTGATTATCTAAAAAAACGAGTCATATAAATTCAGATAGAAGCACTAGATATGACTTCTGTAGCTATAAACGTGACGCATCAAATCCCCTCCCAAAAAATAAAATTAAAGCAACTACTCATGATTAAAGGTAATGGGACAGTTTAAAATTTAATTAATTAAACCAAAATACGAAAATGTGACATTCTTTTTAGAACGGAGTAATAAGGAGAGAGAGTCTTGATATATAACATATACCATACCTGGAAAATACATTCTTACATGATGTGTGAACTCTCACAATTCACAAAGTGTTGGGATTTAATTCAATGAAAAGATTTGTAGCCAAATCAAAAGAAAAGGTATTGCGTACTATATAGTCTAAGTAACCATTTTGTAATCATGGAGATGATCTAAAAGACTAATTATTTACTTGAATTATTAAGTTGGTAAAAGTTATCAAAGAATTCAAAATATATGTTAAAGGAAAAGAAAATATTGTACAAGAAGTTATATAAATTATCCAGAATGCACACAAAGTAAGCTGAGGGATTATAAGTGGTATCAAAATTAACTCATAAAATCCTGAGCCATTCATTTTGTATATGTTTGTGCAGTTAATAACTTCTAATTTTATTAGCTGGGCTTATTTTAATCCGCTTAGTACAACTCATTTTTGAACTGAATTTATATATAATTCAAACTGATCCAAGAGAAATTGTCTATAAATATTTTTAAAGTATTTTTTTAAATAAAGAATTGATATTTATTTTTTTATAATCACATTATAATAATATTAGGTACTCAAATAAATATATGAAAACAAACTTTAAATTTAAAACTTAATAAGAATTAATCACGTTGAGTTATGACTTAGTTTTTAACTCATTTCAATCCAAGCTATTTAATACATCTAAGCAAATGAGCCGTTTATTTATAAAGTTCACTTATTTTGACATTTTTAAATTTAACCCAAACCGCCTATTTACCCTCAAAATTCAACCATTAAAGGGTGCTTGGTTCTAAAGGGTCCATATTTACTTCACATTTTTCATACTCATTCCATTTCTCTAAACCCCCATTAGATAATGATACACTTCATTTTAAGTTATACTCTTCTTTTCAATCTCATAAATTTAAAGATTATAAACATAAAGCATTAATATTAATAGAATAGTTAAAGTCCCTCATTAATTTAAAGATTATAAAGTGTTAATAAGAATAAAATAATTAAAAATTCATCATAAATTTAAAAAATATATTTTTTTAATCTCAATTCAGATGAATATATATCAAAAAAAAATATCGAAAATAATTTTGCTACTATAAATTTTACGTAGTTCAAACTTCAAAGCAAGGACTTGGGGATCGGTGCATTACTGACAAATTGAAAGGAATAGAAATTGATTTGGGTTCTTTCTAAAAGCATAAAAGTCATTTAAGCAAGAAATTATTCCCTCTTCCCAATACTCCAAATTATAAAATTAAAAGAAAGAAATGATTCAATGTATAAATCTACAAAGTCAACCAGCAGACACGGAGACAATAATCTTATTAAATCTCTATTATTAAACAAAAATTTTAATTAAAAATCGCTTAATCTATTTAATAAGATCAAACTTATTATCCCTTATTCTAAAAGCAACTAAAATGTAGTGAACACCAAACATATTACCATGTTAATTAACGTTAAGTAATGTTTTAAAAATGACAAGTTTATCAACAAGCAGACATAATTCACTATTCTAATTAATTGGAAATTTGGATTATCAAAACTTAAGTCAAGTAGTGCTAATATGCCATACTTGTAACTTACTACTCCCTAATTAGTCTCATATCTATGCTACACAAGAATGTCACATTTAGAGTTTCTTTCTATCGAGTCAAACAATGTCACATAAATTAAACGGAGGAAGTAGTAATCAAATTTAGAGTTTTCATAAGTTACGCTTAGTAATATGCCTGTAATAAAAACTTTTTCTTTGACAGATATATCGAATCGACATGGATCAAGTAATATAAAACGGGAAGAATAGTACGTTAAAAAAAAAGCTTCTTGAAATATTTATTATTATCCTAGTTGAGGAGTATCGGTTTCAACATGCTTGTTAGAGAAACAACAAAAGAGTGGTCATTGTCCCTTGTGCTAAAAATAACCAAAATGTACTTTAAGGAGAAAAAAAACTAAAGCTATTCCATTTCTTTTATAGAGAAGAATATTTCCATATATTTCCATGAATTTTGAACAACAAGAAGAAGATTTTGTGCCGACCATTTCCTTAATAACAGCAAAATTGAAAGAGGTATGGTAAGAAAAAAGTAGAGTCACTATTGCCCACATCATCATCATAAGTGAATCAATCAAAACAACTTCTTGATTTCAACAAAGTTTAAAACTGTTCCCTAAATGTAACACATCATGGTCCATTTCCCCTTTGTACAAGAAAATCTTGTTCAAGATCTAGTACTATTCACTAGTGTCAATATATATTATCTTCAATCACATATACTATATTATTCCACACAAAAATGTTGGAGACAAATTTACATATGCCAACTCAAAATCTTAAAACATACTCATATTGTAACCTTAAGAAGAAGAAGTCTTTTCTTAACTTACTTTTGACAACCAATGCCAGATCCAACACCATGTTCCTCAATTAATACGAAGCTAACCTTTATTTCTTACATAATACTAATGCTTAAAAGCTGTCTCATTTCACTTATCTTGAAAAAAAAATGGATCTTGTAAATGAATAAATTAAAATACTTCATCCGTTTCAATTTGTGACTTGACATAAATTTTAAGAAAATAAAGAGGAAATTTAAATCGTGTTGTTTTAAACCAAATATATGTTAATCTTAGGTCTTAAACATGCGATAGAAAGTCAGAATGAAAAAATTGCAAAAGAAAGAAGAAGTTAGAAATACATTTTTTTGAAAGAATAAACATTGAAACACATGGAGTAGTTTGTTTTCTAAAATCATTATTGTAATCTTGACTCTCATTAAACTAGAGATTTTTTTTTTATTTTTATTATAACTGCAAGAATACGTTTCAGAGTTTCATATTTGTAACGCATGGAGAGAAATGGTTAAAAAAATAGTAATATAGATTCTTGAATACGCAAATGAGATTAAGCCTTGTATTTATCTAGAAATGAAAACATAAAGTGGAAGTAGAGTGAAGGCATTGATAAAATCAGTTGTTGAAAAAAGAAAAAAAGATCTAAAAGAAGAAGCAAAACGATTTGTAACGGAAGAAGAGAAGGGTGTTTTTAGTTTACCAACTTTAGTGATAAGACAGACTCAACAAAAAAAAAAAAAGCTATATTGTTGTGAGGACAAATAAGTCTTTTTCAAGTAACAAAAAGTTTCATATGATCTAGCATAGCGAGAATCAATCAAATCATAGAATTTAAGTTATACACGTTGACAGTATTCATACTAACCTGATGTTGAAGAGCAAAGATATGAGCAACGCAACCGTAGACGGGGTCTCGGAGTCTTGCTTGAGCTTCAAAACAAATGGTGAGAACCGCATCAAGCCTTTTGTGGACAGGAATATGAAGGAGAAGTTTAGAAACATTACTAGCTCCAAACACTTTGTGTACAGCTGCAAAATGTGCTGCACCTTGTTCTGAATCAAAATAAGGTGCAAATATGCAACCGGCAACACACTTTCTTCTCAAAAATTTACAAGCACCACATGGCCCTCCTCCTCCACCACCACCACCGCTGCCGCCTCCACTACTAGTACTTCCACTAGTCACTCCTCCGCCTGGGGCGGAGACACCACCGGTGCTACTACTATGGTTATTTGAGCTCATTTTCAATGATAATTCAAATTCACCACTTTTGGAACATAATTTTGAAGGGGTTTGTTTGTATTTTGTAGAGAATAAAAAAAAAGAAAGAAAGAAGAAGATGTGTTGTGTATTACTAGGGTTTGGTTGGTGGTATTAATAATTTTATATATTTTTTAAAATAATTTTTTGAAGTTAAAAAATTTATGTTGTTGTAGAAATATATATTTAGTGGAGGAAGCTAAGAGGAGGGGAGTTTTAAACACTAAATGAAGTCTTTAAAGCCACGCGATGAAGCAAACCCCATTTAGCTGCTTGCGTGAAGCAAACATGCGATAAGCCAACTGCCTTTTTTATTTATCTTCCTTCCTCTCGTGAATGTTTGGCCTTTGCTAGCCTACCATTTACCAATTAGCATTACCAACACCCACCTCCCTCCTCATGTTTTCTTTCATTCCTTTTAGTTATCTATATTTCTTTTTGATCTAATACATCCAATCTTGCTTTACACTAGAAAAAAAAAGAAAGAAAAAGGAAACAACATTCATATATGACACTAACTTACAAACTAATAATAATGTTATCTTTCGTTCTCAACTTGTTTGTCTGATTTTGACTTAATACAAAAATTTTATAAAGTATACAAGACTTCTGAATCTTGTTCGTGTTTAATCATGTTATAATCAGACATTAGTATTAGCGAGTTGTGTCAAATAAATAAAGAGATCCTCTATTTGAATTTACACAATGTTTCAGAAAGTAGAAAAGACTTTTGAGTCGTGTTTATGGTCTTAAACATGTTAGTAAATAAAGAGATCCCCTATTCGAGTTTACTCAATTCCAAAAAGTACAAAAGACTCACTACAAAAACTGTTTGAATTGCATGAGGATTTTCCTGAGGATTTGAATAAATTTCGCAGAAACTTATTTTCATGCAAATTTTCATAATAATTCTCAAGAAAATCTCATGTAATTCACAGAATTCTTGTTGTGACTTTTGAGTCGTGTTCACGGTGTTAAACATGTAATGAGCAAGTAGAATTATTGAGTTACTAAAAGAAGGAAAGAGACGTGTTCTTTGATACTGATTATAAAGAAAAGTAAGAGAAACAAATTAAAACGAATTGAGTGAGAAAAAAAAAAGAGATGTTGAAACGTGTCAATGAGAGTGTCTATATTAGCCTTCCTGTGCGTGTTTTAAGCTGCGTAGAGGGCAAAAGACGCCAACTATATCTCTCCCTTTCGACGTTGAAAAGGAATTCATTCTACCTCATCTTTTCATTCTTTTTTTTATATTAAAAAAAAAGAAGTTACAAATAGAAACGGCTTTGTATTCTTTTTCATTACATAAAGAGTTTGTTGGAATGACATAATTACCTAGAAAGCTACTTCGTTTTATCATTTAGTACTTTCAAGATTTGTATATTCTTGAATTTAAGGTATATTATACCGACCGTCTAAATACGTGTACGAAATTTGTAATATAGAAAATAAAATAAGTTACATACGTTAGAGTGGGTAAAAGTTTCATATTGATCGAGAAATAGACTAATAATCTCCTTATATGAACTTAGACAATTCTCTTCTCACGAACTAGCTTTTGAGGTTGAGTTAGACTCGGTTGTCATATCATTATAACATACATTAATAACTAAGTAAAAAGTTGTTTATACTGAAAAATAATGTATTAGGACTAGTATTTATAGTGGGATTTATTGTATTAATGTTTATACAAAAGATGTCAAAGTTTGTCGTGAAACTAAAAAGGAAAATATGTGAAATGAAGAAGAGAAAGAAGAAAGTAACAAAATTGTATTAAAAATAACATTTGTAGCAAAATCATTATCTTGGATTCTTGTCCATTGTCTAACCATATCAAGATTTGCTAAAAGTTGGTATTGCAGCACTTTTAAATTAAAATGAAAAATATGTATTATATTGATATTGACAGCCATCATTTTGTTTTAATTTTAGATTTTCTCATTCAAGTGGCTAATAAATTTGCTAGATAAGTATCTTACCCAACTTTAAGTGAAGTTCCATCGATTGTATTTTTCCCCTTTGTAGAAAATTAATTCGGACGACTTTAAATACGTATGAATTAGATTAACCATTTAAAAAACATTGTTTAGGAGCAATATTTTATTTTTATTTAGTCGATTAATTATACATCAATAATATCGTGCCAGCAAAAATTAACCAAAATGTATGTTATCAAAGAACAACTATAGTCATAGAATTACCATTTTAGTTTCATTGTATCTAAAGTACTTGTTAACATCAACAAAGATTGTGGTGGAGTGATAAGTACTCATTCTTAAACAGATATCTTGGATTTGAACAATATATACGGAGAGACTTTTCAATACAAATTTAAATTTAGTTAAGCTTTAATATGACAAATACATGGAGTGAAAAACGAAAATAATAATAATAAGGTTATGCTATGCCTAGATGCACGCTTTTGACGTGCCTAATTCGAAATAAGTACTACTCTTATATGATTGATAATAATTTAATGATGAAGATTAACGTGAATCGATATGCATTATAATTAACTTGGTTAAATTCATGATAAGCCAATCATTCACGGCACAAATTGCAAAATTACATATAACTTTCGAAAAATTGATTTTATACTTATAGTTTTTTATTTTATGTTTTTTATTAGAGATTTTTTTCTTATGTTTTAGAGATTCGAAAAAATTAATTTTATCTATTCATTTCGTAAATAGTCAAGAGGTCCCCAACCACTCCCCAATTAAGATTATGCATTGATATTTTTAATCAATGAAAGAGTACTGTTATATGTTATAACAATAAATTAACTATGGAGTAATACATAATTTCTTATATTGTCGATCTATATATAGTTAATTAATCAATTGAAATTTTACAGTTCCCACGAAAAATGTGTTAGGGAATTTCTTGTAAATTTCTATGGTATATAATTCATATTGTTTTCATTTTTTGCTCAAATAATTTTCACTTCATGAATTGGGTTGACCAAGCTTTATTATAATCATAATGGAATTCATATTCTTTTGGTTTAACTCGTAATGTTGACAAATTAAGTTGTAATTACTTTTACAAAGAATTCTATATTTGTCGTAAATGAATAGACACGTCACTTCTAAAAATGAAGAAAAGATAAACTGAAAAATTATTTAGGCTGTTAATTCCTGTACTAGTCATTTGTCCTTATATAAAAGCTTGTAAGACGCTATAAATTAAAAAGAATTTTAGTTATATATATCGCCAAATATTCTTTATCAATATCAACAAATTCTTATTTGATTCTTATAATTTCTTATTAAATATATTGAATTTTTATATTAATTAATATGGCACTACTTTTGATTTTTTACATAAAAAAATCACAAAATTTAATAAATTACTACGCATAAGTTTTTCAATTATGAATATGTTATGACGAAAAGAATTGTTGCTCAATGTTCGAGAGTAATATAATTATAATTACAAATAGTCTAAATATATATAAAAAGGTTAAAAATACATAATTTAATTAATTAAATACTTAGTGTTAAATATTTTTATCAAAATATTTCAAAATATTAAAATCGTAATAAATCAATAATTAAGGGACTAAAAGCGTAATTTTTCCCATAATACAATAATAAATATGATATAACATCCTAAATGTATCACTTAATACTTTCTAAGCTTAGTATACTTTCTAATACTTGAAAGACAAAACGAGAACTACTCTAATAATTAATTTAGAAAAGAACACTATCATTGCTTTTCTATATTCATAAATTCATTCAACATACTCGTGAGTTTTTTAATGATGGATAATTTTAGTAGCTTTTCTAATGTTGTTAGAATATGATAATTACATCTTAATTTTCTTGTAAACTTTAATTTTGTCAATTGTTTCATATATAATCTTTCACAACATTAAATTGTCAAACATTTTTTTTTATCAAACACATCATTAGTCTCGAAGCACAAGGAAATATTTGTTTTAAATTTTGATCTTTACCTTATTAATATAATCTCTTTTTTTGATTGAATCAGTTTCCATAAGCACAATTTACCTAATCAATCAGTTTTAAATACATTTTGACCCAAGATGATAGAAAAATATTTAAAAAGATCACTATTTTTAAAAAATAAAAAATAAAAAAATTAGATGGATGTCGAATGTGTGTGTTTACATGCGTATACTAATGAAATAGATGAAGAGAGTGTTTGGCAGGAAGGGAAGTGTTTTTTATTTATCTTTTTTTAAAGTGTCCTTTTGTTTGTTGTTTTAACACGTGGCAAGTAAATAGGCGTTTAAACTTGTGATATGAAATAGTGATTTTAAATTAGATATGTAAAATTATGATTTTAAATTTCAAATTTTTTCAAAAGACATGAGATTCCAAATACTTATAAAACTAGACCCACTTTAAATTTATAGTAGTTTGTAAAAACAAGGCCCTAACATGTACTTTAATATAATTTTTTTTAAAAAATAAAATAAAATGTATGTACCATGTGAAAGAATTATATTAAAGAATAAATAGTTATTATTATTTTGTTGAAATAATAAATCTTTGTAATATTATGTCTATTTGAATATTTGTAATCACTAACATTTATTCATAAAAAGAACATATATGGATATAATTTATTAATGTATCACCTTAGGATATTTTGATATCTTATATATGAACTATAGTTTGCTCATTTTGTAAGATCATGCAATAACTGAGAAAAATTTGATAGCTTTGACAACTCCTGGGTCATGTTTGAGAAAAAAAACTCGTATAAAGAAATTATAATTGTTTGTCCAAATAAAATTTTAATTTTAAATTATTTTATTTCAAATCGTAATTTCATATTGCATGTCATCCAAACAACCCTTTTGGTGACTCGAGCTAGTAAAACCTTCGGATTGAAAGTGAATGACGCTTAATTTGAGACAATAATTTTAAGAATTGAAATAAGTAATTAAATAAGTCAAAAATATAACAAGAAGACTATATTTTTAGCAAAATAGGTGAATTAATATGTCTATTGACCTCTTTTGCGATAATTCAACGATATATTTTATCTTTTTTCGTATCACAATAAATAACTTGAGAATATAGAAAAAACATTTTTGTAAATACGAAGGGAATTATGTGTAATTAGATAAAGATATAGGAGTAGATCGTCAAAACAAAAGAAGAAGAATAAAGTCAAAGGGAGAGTTCGGCGTTCAAAGGACCTGTGAGGCGTTTCATTTCTGTGTCCAGTAGTAAATTGCCACGTGGATTTCGTGATGCCAAAACGTAACGGCCACAGTATAGATGATCTCACCAGTCACCACATTTACAACCCTTTTACCATAACAGTAAAAATGAGTCTCTGTAATAAAAACACGTGATTCCACGAATTTTACCTTAGTAATGTTAGTACTCCTCCTCGGACTCATTTTATATATCTTTTTACTTTGTACTTATATTATAATAATAAAGTAATTTAAATT